TCTTCTGATCATTCCCAGAGATGTTATTTTTGTCTCTCAAATACTTTCTGCCTTTTGTTTTGTTTTGTTTTTCACAATTAGTTTACTCCCTCAATCTTGAAATTCCCTTGGCTTTTGTTATACCATACCCTTCATGATTTTTAAAATTTTTGTCTAACTTTAGTTTTATCTGCCAATAGGCTCCTTTTCTCCACCTTTTATTGAACTGTTGTTGGAACCCAGATGATGTTAAGCTGTTCCCCTTTTTCCTTCAGATCTTTTCTAGATTGTCTAGTTTATTCTCATTAACTTATGACTCCCCACACTGTGGCCTCTGAAGATCTCCTCCCTCAGCTTCAGACTGGAGTGTCCATCAGCTGGAAAAATAACTACAATGCAACATCGTTCAGCCACCTCAGTCACGTCATATCCAAACCCGTAGCCATCATTTTTGCATGAAAATTATCACTACTACTCTGAGTTTTTAGTTGTTTGATGCCACTATAAGTAGAGTGACATCAAGTAAACATTATCTTTGATTTTTTCATTTTTGCATCTATGAGTACTGCCATTTTTTTCCTTAAATATTTCTTTTTTTTTTTTTTTCTCCTCATCCATCACTGTTCTACTGATCAAGCCCTCATAATTTGTTCCCTTTTATTAACTTCCCACTTGGTCTCTATGGGCCTCTCCAATCTCTTTTCCATATCCACCAGGGTATTCTACTGACCCTAATTTAATCCCTCCATAATTCCCCAGAGCCTACAGGGGAAATCTCTAGTTTCTTACCCTAATGCATAGACTGATTCAGGCAGACCTCTCACCACTGTTTTCTTTATATTTATTGCCATTCCTAACTGCTGGTAGTGTCTCCCTCACATGATGTGTTTTTCTTGCCCCTGTTCCCTTTTCTTATGTCTCTGTCTCTGCTCCTTACCTATTCAGGCCCTATACCTGCCACACCCGCTTTCACAGGGCCTTTAGTGACTTCTCCTGGCTGTGTTAGGAGCCTCTTTTCTGTACTTCCATAGTATCCTATACACGTCTGTATTATTGGGTTAACAGGAGTGCATTATAACTATCTGTCTATTTGCCCCACCAGATTCAGAACTCCTAGAGAACATCCACGTATGTGAATTCATCTTTTAATCCCTAGTTACCACAAACTGCATATTCTACTTAGCAAATGTGGATTGAATAAATAAATAAATAGGGACGTAATGAAATTCAGATTAAATAATCTTAAGAATCTACTTAATATGTTAATTTCTTGAAGCCATTGAATGTTTCAACAATAGAACATTTATATAAAATATAAAATATTTAACTATGAGTAATTGATAGGCATTTACTTGTTATTCATAAACGGGATAATATAATTGATTTGTATTGGATTCATAACATTTTAGAGACTATGTAGTATCTTGAGGTAGACACAAAAAGCATTAAGACAGGATTTTTAAAAAGTTTTCAAAATATAGGAAGTAGCCTCTTATGTGTATTATGAATTATTTAACCTGTGAATAACATGCCCCCATCTTTTAAAAATTTATGACAAAAGTATTTTGTTGAAACTTATTGATAAGTGTCACACATTTTCAACTTTAATTAGTGGTTTAAAGGAAATTTCATACATTCAGTAAAAAAAAAATAATAGTGATTAGGATTTGGAAATATTCAAAACTAGAAAATATATAGAATGAATTACTAACCCTATACCAAGTTAGTTTTAGAATCTACCCAAAAAACATATTGTTTTGATATTGTGTGTCCTTTTCTCCCAAATGTTGGCTAAATTTCCACAGCAGTGCAATGAAAATCCATCAAGATATAGGAATAATACAGTCACTGCTCATTATTTATATGTGTTATGGTCTATAAAGTTGCTGTGAACACTGAATTAGTGAATGCTGAACAATTGCTCCTAAAGGAAGTATAGATAGGTTCTTGGCAGCTTCTGGTCACAACCTTTGCATCAGCTTATCAATACATAACTTCATTCTGTGTGTGTTGTTGTTTAAAAATACCTTTTTTAATATTTATTATTGATTCATTAACATTGAATTCACAGCCAACAGCAGGATAACTCATGCCTGAGCAAAGCTTATCTAACACATAGTCTTCTCCAAAAGTCACACCACAGCCCTCTTGCCTCATAAACACTAGACACTTAAGCATTATTCTTGGGAGCCTTTTAAAAAAAAATTATCAACAAAATTGTTACCTGCTTTGTGCACGTCTGCAAATGACCAGGAAAGTGGCATTATTAAAATTGGGTATGAGTAAATTTCAGCCAATAGGCAAATTTGCAAATACAGAATCCACAAATAATCAGGATTAACAATATTTTGATATATGCTTTTAGTCGCTCACATAGATTAGCTACACATTTTGGATTACATTTATTTTACTGTTTACTGTATTCTTATTATTTACTGTACAGTTCTCTACAGTCTGTTCTATGATGGTCTAATAAAAACCCATCACTGGGACTGGGAAATTAGGTTTATTTTTCATTTAGTTCCTTTATTTCCACCTTGTAGTTCCTCTATCTCCTACTTCCCCTCACTAGATTGAGTCAGGAGATGCAGTTCCAGTGTAAGTTTGGTTTTAGCTAAATATGCGATCTTGAACAATTTATTTGGCCAAGCTAGGTCTTATTTCCTCATCAGCATGATGATTATGTTGTTGCTGATAATCTCTAGGGTCTTTCTCAGCTTTAAATTTCGATGTCACTCTTTACAAGTGGATCTTGAAAAATTTAGACACTAAAACAAATTATAATACTAAAACAAAATGCTTTTTAATAATTTAATCTATAAAAGACCGAAGTTTAGAACGCACAGATTTCATAAAAGCTCCAGAATTCATTGTAATTTATTCCTTAAAATACTAAAAATTTCATCTGAAAGAATATTATAAACTATAAGGCATCTGAAAGAATATTATAAACTATTAAGGTATAAATTATCTAGATAAAAACCACCATAACAAGAATGCTTTATATACAAATAATAACCAATTAACAATATAACCAATAAAACTTTCCCTATATAATGCTTTGTAATTTGGTGTCATTGCTGAAAACAGATCTACCATTCACACATTGCTCTTCTCTCTCCCCCTGTCTGCCACCCCCACCACCACACACACATTGCCTTCTCTTTCACCCTTCCTCTCCTCCCCTTCTCCTTCTCTCAGTACTTGCTGCCCCCCACACTCACCAACCAAAATCTCAGAAATAGCTCAGAGGTTTACTGTGGAAGATTAAATAAAGGAGAAATTGAAGGTGGGCTTTTAAAGTGAGAAATGATGAGAACTCTAAGAATCGTAAGAACCCTAGGAATGCGTGATGTGACTTGAAAAACAAGAAAACAGATCTGAAAGACAATTCAGAGGTGCTGTTAGGATTTGTGACTGAATTGATATGTAATTATCTTTGTGTGTTTGTTTCTTTTACTTTTTTCACCACCATCATCCCTACTATAATCAAGGCTTCATAGATGTGGGATTTTGGTTTTCTTGTTCACTACTTTTCTTGCATCTCTACTGCCTACCTCAGTTTCTTGCACATAGTAGATATTTTATTAAATATTTTACAAATAAGTGTTCACTGTGTGGGAAGACTAATGGAGGAGAATAAATTGTCAGAAATGTAATTTTAAACATGATCCCAAATTACCATCTACATATCCATCCATCAGTAAACACTAACCAATAATCATTTTTACCAGGGAGATCTTGCTTAAATATTTATTCAAATAAAACTATTTTAGTTGGCCGGGCGCGGTGGCTCAAGCCTGTAATCCCAGCACTTTGGGAGGCCGAGACGGGCGGATCACGAGGTCAGGAGTTCGAGACCATCCTGGCTAACACGGTGAAACCCCGTCTCTACTAAAAAATACAAAAAACTAGCCGGGCGAGGTGGCGGGCGCCTGTAGTCCCGGCTACTCGGGAGGCTGAGGCAGGAGAATGGCGTAAAAACCCGGGAGGCAGAGCTTGCAGTGAGCTGAGATCCGGCCACTGCACTCCAGCCTGGGCGACACAGTGAGATTCCGTCTCAAAAAAAAAAAAAAAAAAAAAAAAAAACTATTTTAGTTAATGACAAATCTCTAATAATGTGACAAGGCTGCAGAAATGGCTACATTAGGTTATATTTCTAAAAATTCCTATTCAGTTCAAAGAAGATAGTGATTCTATTGTGATGGATTATTTATTAACCAATATAGCCCCATACTCTGAGAATGGGACCAGCAAATTAGAGTGTATTCCAAAGATGACAACCAAAACGGAGACCCTGTGGTCTGAGGAGTGGTTCAATTGCTTCCAAAGGGATAGATACAGGCAAAAATATTGTGCAGAGAATCTGTAGTAGGATTCAAGAGACTGAATTCGAGACCCAGGTCTAAGTAATTCTGTGGCAAGTCAGTTATCTTTTGGCATTACTTACCTCTTCTATTTAAAAAAAAAAAAAAAAAAGATTAAAGTTTTAACTATTCTGTAATCTTTCTTCCAGGTCAATTACTGTATTCAAGAATTCAAAAATTCAATATTATGTGTTAACTTGAGAATTTGTCCTCAAATAATGGAGAGCTATTTACATATAAAATGATACAGGTTTAGTTTTGTTTTAGACGGTAGAATTAGTCCCAACAAGTAGGATTTGCAGAGGGCGATTTCAGTTCATTCTATGGGGTAATTTTTGAGCCATTTCATTAGTGCAATAAGAAAAAGGCTTATCATGCAAAGTAGTGATATTTTCATCACTGCCAAGGATATCATGTAGGGAAATTATTCATCGTGTTAGAGAGTCGATTTAGCAATACCTTTCAGCTCTAGGATTTTCTACTTCGCTGTTTAAGGTAGTCCCAAAGCATATCCTCAAGGCCAGTATCCCAGCAAGCTTCTATGCCAGTCTTTTAAATTGAATAAATGATTTTCTTTTATCATGAAATAAGGAGGGTGGGAAGAAGCATGGAGCATCGAAACTTCTTCTCTTTGATTCGCTCTATCACGTTCAGCAGGTTCAAGGTCAGCTGCCGCCATTAATGATTCCCGTATTCCCTCCTGATCAACGGACACTGGCTGCAGCTGCCCAGCAAGGATTCCTCCTCCCTCCAGGCTTCAGCTATAAGGCTGGATGTAGTAAGTACTGTTGATTTTTCATCTGGGAGTGGGTGGAGGGCAAAGCTTTAAATTAGGCAATTTAATATTACTGCCACACCAAGAAATGAGATCACCTATATTGCATTTTTATTTTAAAGAGGAAATACACGGAATGTGTGGAGAAGTGTGTTAGTATTTAAAAGGGCTTAGATTAAGTCTGTGCTTCTGAAGCCAATATTCTGTATAACTCAATTTCATAACTTCTATTTACAGTGTATTGTTAATGTATGAATGTAATTTGTGGATTCATTTAATTTTTTGCACAGATGACATAGGAATATGCTTTTTACCACCTTTTTAACAGTGAGATAAACCCAAATTTCCTAATGTGAATGAGTTCACCTGTTATTTGTCTCCTCCAAATATTTACAGCCTAAATTCTCACCAGTCTTTTGAGTTCTTAGACCGAACCATTCTTTTTCTTGACTCTGGACTTGCATCGTCAGTATTCACTCTCCTTCATATTGTGAAGCGCTTCTAGCTCAGATTAGGGAGCACTTGCCTGACTTGACCTAAGTTAGGTCCCTCTCTCCTGCTTCCTTTGGATTCTGTATATTTTCTTTTTCACTTTAATTGTAAACTTTCTGAAGGCAGTTGCTGATTCTGTCTTACTCATTGTTATATCTCAACTTTTAGTACAACATTCAACATTTTTGAATGAATTAATAAATGAATACATAAGCAATATAGAGGACTTTTTTGAGCTAAGTGATATACTAGAATAACTGTTTATATTGCTTATTAACTTTAGATGCCTGTGATGTCATGCCTTTTTCTCTTTCTTACCCAAATATAAATTGCACATTGTTAGTCTTAGGAAAAAATACATCATTTGAAAAAGTTATAGTCAAAATGCCAACTGTATTCTGTAAGATAAAAATAATAACACATTCTAAAGAGGGGCTAGATTGCTAAGCTAGATATCTTCCAGAACATCTTTACCATGGTCAGAAGAAAAATAGTAAAAGCAAGTTGATTGAAATATTTTCATTGATAGAAGTGAATACCACTGAAAAAAATTAGTGAAACATTAATTTAGATAATTACATAGAATATTGTTTTTAAATTCCAGTGCATTTTGGCATATATATATATATATATGTGTGTGTGTGTGTGTGTATATATATATATATATATAAATTGTGTCATTAACATCTTGTTATGCTTTAGTATTTAATTAATTTGAGAAACTCTAACATTACTAGAAATCAGTTCTACATTTTCTATTAGGTGATGTTTTAAATTCTCACATTGGGGATTTCAACATTTATTTCTCGTCTTTCAATCTTTCTCTATATCATATAGAAGAAATGGGTTGTAATTTCTTAAATAAGCAAAGCCATTTGACATTAGAAGATTGCAACTCTGTAGTTCAGATAAAAGTGGTCTGCATTCAAGACTATAAAAATTCGCATATGTGTGATGCTTTGCTCTTTGAGATTTTCATACTGCTTTTGGAAATCTTTCTCTTTACTTTGGTTTCCTGTGTTTTAAAACGGAATTCTCACTCTGGACCCTTAATTTATTCATCTAGTATTACTTTTCATATCATCCTACCTTTGTAGGTTATCAATTCATCCAGACACACCAACATTTTTTTGTAATTAAATACTATGTTCATTCTAAATATTTTAAATTCTAAGAATAATTTAAATTCTATGAATAGAATTTTCATTTTTATTGCTACACTAAGTTCTGATTTTTTTAGTTCTCATTTTTAAATCATGAAAGATGTTTTGTTTTGTTTCTGTTTTCTTAAGGAATTACTGTTCACATTAAACACATGCCATACATGTGTTTTTAGTAAAAAAAAAAAAAAAAGAAAGAAAGATGACACTTTCTAAAATCATTAGTTGCCTTTGACTGCACCTGTAATATATACATATAGATTAGTTATATTTTCAATAAAAAAAAAAAATCTTTTAAAGCAACTGCAAAAGTAAGTCCCATTAGCAAATATTGTGCTGAAGAGAAAACCACATTTAGTATGAACAATAGCAAAACTGTAGGCCTGGAAAAGGTCAAGAACACCTCCAGCTCACTCTCATTTGACAGAGTTGGCATACTAAATTTGTTGAGTGTTAATGTAATGTGGCATGGAGAATTTTTTCCATTTCCAAAATAGTTAGTATATTAACCATTTGATATTCATACTTTTAATGCTTACAGTTATAAATGATACCACTTCTTTTGTAACCTTGGAAATAAAATAGGAAAAAGCCTTTACAGCTGCTGGCAAGCTTGAAACTGGGATCACACCAAACTCTAGAACTAAGCAGAAACCAGTAGCAAAAGGAAGTGCCACCCTTGTTGACCCCTGGCATTTTGAGTCAGTTTGAATGAAGAACTGGTTGGAAGTGAAAAGTAGTCCAGACGACATCCTCCCTAGTCACATTTCAAGAAAGGAATAGAAGTAGGAGAAGAAATTGTGCTGTTTCTGCTCTTCAGTGGGACTTCCTGATTTATTCCCCTCATAGTTGTCAACCATTTATGACTTTTCCAGTTGCCAATTATTTCCATTTATTACATAGTCTTCAATAAAAGAGACTGACCAACCCATCTTGCTTTCAATTTCAAGCAAATATGAAAGATACACTATTTGTTGCTATCAAAAATCCAGATACTTTTCATCAATCCATTTATCGAACATACTGATGATAAATGTTTCTGTTTAGACTAGATGTCTTCATAAAATACATAAAATAAATTTTAAATCTCTGGAACTAAACTAGAAACTTTAAATGTACTCGACAGGAAAAAAAAAATACACACACAGTTTAAGGAACCTAATCGTTATAAACTGAGTTAGCATCTCCTGTTTCTGAAACAAAAGCTTTTAGTTGGACAGAAATATTTTTTTCTTTAAGAAATACGTAATAGCTGAAATATGGTGTGGATTGGAAACCCACAAAATGTGGTTCCTGAGCCTTTCTTGAGTGCTAGAATGTATATCATTTAAACAATATAAGAGTAAATTAGTAGGAGCACAGCCAGGCACATCAGAGAAAATTGACTAGACAGACAGAAAACAAACTCTAAAGAATATTGCTGCCCATTCTTTTCCATGAGTGCGTGGATCAGTTCACAGATGTTGATGTAGTATTAGCAGCATCTCAGACTCTGTTTGGGCATTTGGTATTAATGAAATTAAGCATGAAACCACTCCATGGGTCCATATCTAGCTCTTGCTTTCCTTACTTATTAAAATCCTAAAAATACTTGAAAACTTCTGAGGGCATAAAAATGATGTATATTCTTGAATCAAATCCTTTCTCTCTCTCTCTCTCACTCTCTCTCACTATATATTTATATATATATACATTTATATGTATATCATACATTTTATATATATACACATATATATAACACATTTTATATATATATATATTTATATATATAAATATAAATATTTATATATAAATATTTAAAAAACACATTTATATATATATATATATATATAAAATGTGTGTTTATAAAATTAGAGAACTTGAAAGTAATTACATGAAAACACTGGTTTAATCAGCCAGCTTCATTCAGAGACCAGTTCATTCAGGGAAAGAAAAAAATTAGTTGAATAATCTGTATTTTGAACTTCTCAGTTCTATTAAAACTGTCAACTTAGTTATACATAAACACACCCCAGACCATATAAGAGATAATTTAAAATATCAAATGTAAATTATATTTGTGCATAATTGCTCATTTTAATCAGAAAATAATTATTGCAGCCCTTTAAGTTTGAACAACTACGTAACTAAAGTTTCAATTCTAAATTAATGAAATAACTGGGTGTACAAATGAACTGGCTCAAGTACACACAAGTACCCAGTGGATGGTTGAAGAGTCCAAGAACACAGTCCATTTGCCCCTGCTGGAAAGTCTGAGTAGTATCCTAAACTATTTATCAAAGACTTCAACGTGTGAGCTGTGAAGCTTGTGTCAGATACGTCTTTTTGAAATAAAATATAAATGCCTTTGGTGCCTGTAGAACAGTTTCTTGTTTTTGGAAAGAGACTGCTTTTGCTCATCCTAGAGCAAATTCTACTTTACAAAAAAATCAACTTTAAAGGAAAATAATTTTTGAATGTTCGTGTTGGTGTCAGCCTAACATTTTATACTTGGGAGAGACTTTTGAGATAAGGTGGTTGATAGATATAAGGTTAGTCAAAAATACTTTCTCTCACTCTCACTCCAGGCCTGTTTCTGCAGCACATGGCTTCTTTGAACCCCGTGTTCAGGATCACTGCTATTTCTTCAGAGTACATATTTTAGAGGTAGAAATTAGAGGTATAGATGATTATTTTCTTACTAGAGACTGCACTCCTCTGCCCCTCTCTTTTCTGTTTGGGTATAAAGTCCCCAGTCACATAATTGTAACCATTAGACGCTTTAGAGATTTTAACTGGAAGATATTTTATGTGGAAATTTAAAAAATCTGCATGAATGGCAAAATCCAATAAAATAACCCATTTTGTATACAGTATAAAACCAACAATTATAAAAGAGCTGGCTTGATAGTAAAAGAGTGGTATCAAACTGAATATGAAATATAGCTACAGATAGAGAATATTTACCAAGAACATTTGGACATGTGCCTAGTGCCGTGGTTATCAAACTGTGTGCGAAGATTCCCAGGGTGCTATAGCTAATTCATAGGGAAACAGGATATTTTAAAATTTTAGAGAAAATACAGAGGCATCTATTGGACACTGTGTGAACTATCATAGATAAGTTGTTTGTACTTTACTAAATAAAATTGAGTGGTTGGATATTTCCTTTGTTTTTAAGAGTCCCATGAAACAATTATTGAACCATCAATGGTGCCTTAATTGAAGAAAGTTTGGAAACTTTTGTCCTAGAGTATATTTGTTTTAAAAATTACTGTGATTTTTTTTTAACCTGGAAGTTATTGTCATTCACCTGTTATACTGCCAACCACAGAACAGAATATTATAATAAAATTTATTTTCCACTTAACA